AGCACTCTTCCCCTCCACTGTCAGCTGCTCTTCTCAAACTTTTCTGCTGAGCTTTCAAGACAGTATCTGCTGGCCATTCTGAGCTTCTTGGGTATAGATAGACACGTTGTTTACTTCTGCATGTTACGCATAGTTTTATAGTCATCCAACCATGTAGTTGCCATTGGTTTGTCTGTTCCCACTCATATGTAAAGGTTTAAGAGAGAACCATGTCACCTATTTTTATCATACATGTTGGTCTAGTGTTTTGGTTTTGCTACTCTACGTGTACTGTCTATCTTGATTTGTAGAATGGGCAGGTTTGGGAATGTTTCCATTTATTTCACCGTGTATTTTCCCAGAATGTCTCTCCAAACTTTTTGACAATAGAAATCTCATCCTTCAGCAACACAGATCATGTATTTGTTTATACTAAGAAGCTGAGAAAGAGTTTATAAGCACCCTTAATTAGATGGTATATTTCAAAGACATATATCTGATGCTGCATTAGAGTTAGGGTAAAATCAATTTACTTATTTAATGCAGAATTATTCAATTCATGTAAACTGTTTTGTAAGTCAAAGTAACTAAATGATTGTTAGATAAATTTTTTCCTTTGTGTCCATGGACACCAGTAATGTAATAAAAAATGTTCTTATAACCTATGTTAACCTGCATTAGGTGACACAATTACAAAATTAGATGAAATCATTAGAGGATACCTAAGAGTATGTTCATTCATTCATAAATATACTCAGAAAAAAACATATTGAGTCTGTCCACCACCTGCAGAAGTCTGGCCTGCAGACCCTGACTCAACGATGGATGAATGAATGTGCTCTCACACCATTACAGTGATTCAAGAGGGCTGCTGGGGATGGATGTTGGCTGCTTTTAGAGGGCGAAATGCAGCCAGTCAACTGAGACTCCCTCTCCATCCTTAGGTTTATTCAGTCAGATTTTACAACAGAGATTCTAAGTTAACATACCCGTAGATAAGTAACTTGGTTAAAAGAATGGTTTTATGACTGATAAAAGGTTTATGTCCTGGGCCCAGAGTAAACATTATTAACAGGTTACTCCCCTTTGATCTCTCCCTGAGAGGACCTCCCAGCACAAAATTTACATGAGCAAACAGTTGAGTGGAGACAAAGGGATGTGGGGTAAACAGATTTAAACTGTGGAAGTCCTTTATCATCTCTGTCTCCTCCCTATGCTAATGCAAATGAGGTGGCTGCCTTCAGCCTGCCTCAATAAAACCTTTGGCCTTCCAAAAGGTTTGAAAGTACAGTCTATAACTTTTGCTAATATTTTGCCAGGCACCCCAAGTAATATCAACAATCAAATGCCTTTATGTTGATGTGCTTACTTCTATCAGTTTCTATAATCTATATTGTCAGGGTAAAACACAGTATGCATTGAAAATCAGGAATTCATATTTCTATGTAGGAAATTTTGCATGTCTTTCACATTTGACTGGACATTGGTGAAAATAAATGAGCAAGTAGCTGGAGGATGAATAAGTAGAAAATATTTTCTAAAACATATCCAAACTAAGGCCAAAGTTCGAGTGAATAGCAAGAATTTATTTGATAACACAGGAAGCAAGAAAGAGCAATTACAGATGCAGAATCCATCTGTGCATAAGAAAGAATGGATCCAGGGCATAAGTGAAGAGACTGAACTTAGATGTGAATATGAGCAGCTTATATGAAAAGAAAAGTGAAGGAGACATCTACATAACTACATGCAGGTAGGTTGATACCATTTGTTGTTGACACTGTGAATAGTCTCTGATTCTATCAAGCAAAATCAGCAACAGTGAATGAAGAGTGGGAAGAGGACTTAGAACTTCATGAGAGAATTAAAAATTGAAATTGTCTAGAAAAGTAAGATAATTGAATTAACTAAAAATTAATAGATTTGTAAGACAAGTCTGAGATTTTATTACTGTGTATTTTCTACATTCATACTCAACTCAGGTGAAAGTAGAATATTGGATTTCAACAATATAATGCTTTTGCCAAGAGTGTAAACATAGGGAGAAAAAGCACAAAGAAGAAAATGATGTGTGTAAAGAAGTATTGTTGATAGTTGTTTTTAGGTTCAAAGCTAGACTGGAAGAGAAGAAGAAAATTGATATTTAAGCCTGGTAGGGAAAAGAGAGACATCAGTTTTCAGAGGCAGAGAAAGTGGATAGGACCAATTAATTGGAGTTCTGGATGGGTGGAGGAATTTTGAGGGTGTGAGGAGCAAAAAGCTGAATTAAAGTATTAGGATGGTATGTGTGAAAACCCGAATTGTAGAAATTAAGATTATGGACGGTTGCACTTCTAGGTACTTTGATTTCACAGTCTTCAGACTCCCTCTCCACCTAACTTCTGCTGTTCCTGCAATGCTTTATTTCTTTCTCTTTTTCTTTCCTAGTATAATTATGTTTCCCTGGAGGCCCAGTTCAAGTTTTCCCCAATTAAACTATCAATTATGTGTATTCTACAGTGGTTTTCCTCTTCCTTAACGCTGCGTAATGCTGGAAGTTGCTGCCACACAATACAGTTCTACAATAAATGAAGTGCCAGTAGTTCTCATGTTCTTTAGTAACTTTGTAATCAAAATGTTGTTTCTTCATGCGCTCTGTCTCCATCACTCTTATAGTTAACAAATAATTGCTCAAAGAATAAAGGGAACTAATAATAAAACTACCCTCATTTGCTATCTCAAATAATGTCTTACTTAATAAACTGTTTATTTAAATGCCATTTCTTTGTGTTAATTTGCTAAGTATATAATCTTTTATATATTTCTCAATTTCCATAAGTTTACATTTTCTCACTTATGAAACATTATTAAAATTAATTTGTGGACTGAAATAATATATTGTGTTTAAAGCTCTTAGCACATTATCTAGGACTCAGTTTCTACAAAATAATTGGTAATTAACTAGATAAAACATGTGAGATATGCTGTCAAAAACATTGGTATCAATCATTATAATATTAATATGCACCAAGTAATATCACAAAAGGTATGCTATTTTATCAGAGTTTTCAATACTACAGTACAAATATACTTATTGTAATGCCTAATGTTTTAAAGTGACAAATTCCTGCATTTGCTAAGTTTATCTTCACCATTTTATGGACTGAATGATACAGTGTATTTGAATATGATTACATAGTCCGTTAACATTTTTGTGGTTTTCATGATGGCTTATGTAATGATCAAGGTCAGTAGAGAAATTTAGAGATTTTATATTATGCATTATGGCAGAAAACTGTGCAGAGAGTGAAAAATCACCCATGCTCAGTAACCATTTTGAAGCTCTATTCATTTATTACGCATACGATAGCTTTCAATTAAAAATGGTTGACTGGGTTTAAGATTGCCTTTTATGGAAAAATGGGACATGGCATAAATGATTATTTTTTTCCTCTTCCTGATGCACTTACTGTTTCTCTTCAGTACAAAGAAGGATATTCAGGTTGTCACCATAATCTGTAACACTTAAGAAGTGTCCAGGATGTGAGACAGGTATTTATTCCTATGAAGCCTCCATGGTGTATTTTGGTATGTGGTTGTTTTATTGAATTGTCGATAATGCTAGGCACTGTAACCTCGAAAGTGGATTGATTTAGGGACGCTACAGTGTTTCTTCTAGTACTCAACAATTTTTTTCTTTAAAGGGGAGATCTGAGGAGTTCTGCTCTGACATTTTTTGTCCTCTAATTCTTTCGCTGATATGGACATTAGCAACCAACGCCAAGACACATGTTTAAAATGGTTATAAGACATCTCACTAAAACACAGTCTATAATAGTAAAATATAGCTTAAACTTCAAAGCCTGACATTTGTATCCTCCTAATTCTCCACCTTCAAAATATAGCATGGTAGCATAACATCTCTTATCTTCCAAGTATTAGACCCATAATTATTAGTTTATTCTTGCTGTACTAATTTCTACAAACCAAAAGGATGAAAAATAAAATATGCTGTGGACTAAACTCTAATTTTTAATCTTGCCCAAATTCCTAAGGGCTCTGGGCAGTCATATCCTACAAATCATGAATTTTCATCAGATGGGTTTTATTTAACACTGTATATCATTGTTGTAGGGAATAATAATAAGTAAAAGATTCCTCTCTAAAGGTTTCCTCTTAGCTCATTAGAAATAAATAATAGTTTCTTCAAAGGTTAATTTACTTTAAAGCTTTTGTTAATAATCTTAAAGTAGCTGTTAGTCATAATAAAGAAATAAGTGTATCCTGTGTTCTTAGTTCTTACACTTTAACCTAGATATTTGCCCTGACGTGCCTGGACAAGCCCAGGCAAGTCTTAGGACATAGCTTACACCCCTGCCTTATTGGAAAATGCTATTGTTTCTCTAAGCATTCCCCTAGTTACTTCCTCTTTTCCTTTGTTCTCCTCTGCCTTTACTTCTTTAGAAAAGTTCCAAGTTTTTAGCCAATAGGGTCAAGCATTGAATGTGAGGTCCCATTCTGGCCCATGGAAACTGGGCACAGCAGTAGGGCAATTGCGTCAGGTTATAAAAGTTATAAACGTCCCTTGTTCAGGTGTGTCTCGTGGCAAGACTGCCAGCAAGTTGCACCCTTCCTGCAGGAAGTGAACTAGCCTTGTTGAGTTAAACATTGTCTCCGAGTGGATTTTTCCCAACCTTATAAGCCCATTTCCAACGATGATTTACTTGCCAGCATGACTTTGGCATAACATTGTAAGACAAAGAAGAAAATCAAAGTATTTTACTCCAAAGCGTGTTTCTTTGCCATGTTTTGAAATGGCCCTGCCAAGCTGTTCTTTGTGGGGGGAAAATTTGCATCTTTAAAGAATCTTTATTAACATGCCTAGATCTTTTTCTTCTAGACCCTCCTAATCCTAAAGAGATTTACAAAGGTCTGAATAGGAAACATTGGTCATCTGTTGTCTCTAAGGGCAGTCACTATAAGATTTTAAAAAGAACTTTGGTCACCACAATCATTATCTTAACCTGAACATTTTCTTTCTATTTATTCCAGGTCTTTGGACAAACTCAACCAATTGTCAACCAGAAAATGTTTAAATTCATCTATAGTCTGGAAGCCCCCTGCTTTGAGTTGTTCCCCCTTTCTGGAGCAAACCAATGTATTTCTTAAATGTATTTGGCGAATATCTCATGTCTTTCTAAAATGCATAAAACCAAGCTATTCCCTGACCACCTTGGGCATATGTTCTCAGGACCTCCTGAGGGCTGTGTCATGGACACTCATATTTGGCTCAGGATAAGTCTCTACAAATATTTGAAAGAGTTTGACTTGATATGTTGACAATGCTATACTTTCAAAATACTTGACAAATAGGAAAACAAAATGTTAAACACAATTATAATCCATCCCATATATACAGGAATTCTTAAAAATAAAGATAATTTCTATTTAAGAGAATGAGAAATTTGAATCACTGAATAGTTAATGGCGAATTACTCCAGTAAATATTCCTATCAAAATGGCTTTTGATGAAACAAATAAAAGTAGTAGTCTTTTAAAAACAGCAGCGCTAGGAAGAGAAAAATGACAATTATAGGGTTTTAAATTTTATCCAAAAAGGTAATATATTAATTCCAAGTGAATTATATAAATTTTAGTATGTATATTTCCATACCAGTAGTAACCACTGAAATTTTATTCAACAATATATGGTCAAAAGACAATAAATAAATTAAAATATAATTTGAAAATATTTAAATAAGCAAAAGCAATATAGAAGAGGGAAAGCAGAGGAAAGAAAATCAGAAAGGAGAAGCAGAAACTGATAATAAACTAAATTGAATTATATCAATGATTACGTTAAATATAAATTGTCTAAACACATCCATTAAAACAGAGATAGGAAGATTAGATAAAATACAAGACCTAACTCTACATGGTGGATAACAAATCCACTTTAAACATTATGAAATGAATAGATTAATAGAAGAGATAAGACTTCTCATTTCAGCTTGGAAATGTAAAGAGCTGAAAGAGTAGCCACTCTTGTCTTTACATAGAGAGAAAAAGCTCACCAGCCTCAATATCAACAATTTTTCTTGGACCCACAAGCAAATTGAGGTAACAGAGAAAAGAGCCACATCAAAATTCAGAAGAAAGAGATCTAAGTATGTTAATGAAGATTATTTACAGATGCAAATATCCCTCCCCATTCCCTGCAAAGAACAGCTTTTCAAGGCTATTTCAAAATATGACAAAGAAACATGTTTTGGAGTAAAATATTTTTATTTTTCTTCTTTGTCTTATAATGTTATGCCAGAGTCAGGTTCAAAAGTAAGTCACAATATATCAGGTTAAATAAAACCCATGGGATGAGAATTTATGATTTGTAGGGCACTACTCCTAGACCCTTTAGATAGGAATTTGGGCAAGATTAAAAAATCAAAATTAAGTCCCTAGCATATTATATTTTTAATCTGTTTGGTTTGTAGAAATTTTGGACCCATCAGCAAATTAAGGTAACAGAGTAAAGAGCCACATCAAAATTCAGAGCATCACTACCGAGATCAGCTTACTTGGAACCGATTACCTCCAGCTGGCTAGAACCATAAACTTGTAGGAACATTTAAACACAAATTGTGATAAATTGCAGAGGCTGAGTGTTGACTAATTTGAGAGTCAGTAGCTAATCAGAGTTACAGCCTTAGGTTTTACCTGCCCAAACTGTACCAGCTTCTCAAGGTGAAGAGCCAAGATACATCACCTCTTGTCTTTGACAGAGAGGCGATTGGTAACAATTTCAAAATAGACTCAATGTGTTATCCTCAACAAAGGTGTAGTATCCAGCAAAGAAGAATTTCCTGGAGATTTATCTCACAGAGAAAGGGAAAAAAATGACCCCAATCCAGTCACTTGTAGCTTTTCTGTCTCACCTGAGTGGGGTACTAGTAAGAAAAAATGTGAAGGTCATATTCATAGGAATGCAATCCTATGAGAAGACTCACTTAATCATAAAATTATCACCTACTTCCCCTCCTTGATTGTTTATACTACATTAATGGATCTCAAAAAGACCACAAATATCCTATGAAAATGCTTGACCAGTACTCTTCAAAACTGCAAAGCTCATCAAAAACAAAAGCTGAGAAATTGTCACAGCCATGAGGAACCCAAGAAGACATGATAAGTAAATATAATGTGATTTTCTGGGCAGGACATTAAACAGAAAACTAAGTAAGTCTGAATAAGCTATGGACTTATTTAGTAATAATGTATCAATATTGGCTCATTAAATGTAACAAATATATTGTAAGACAATGTCAGAGGTGTTTGAATCCGAGTGAATCCCTCATGAGTAGCTGGGTAAAGTAAGGCTAGGACCTGCTGGGCTGTATTCCCAGTAGGTCAGGCATTCTTAATCATAAGGTAAGACAGGAGGTCAGAACAAGATATAGGTCACAAAGACCTTACTAAGAAAATGGAATGCAATAAAGAAGTCAGCCAAAACTCACCAAAACCAAGATGGCAATGAAGGTAATCTCTGGTCATTCTCATGGCTCATTATACACAAATTATAACTCATTAGCATGCTAAAAGACAGTGTCACCGGTGCAATGACAGTCTGTTGCGGGGAATTAAGGGAGGGACAGTGGGAGATAGGGGGTTGGGAAGCCATAACATGGGAAGAAATGTCAGATATAGATGATGGGGATGGAGGCAGCAAACCGCATTGCCATATATGTATCTATGCAACGATCCTGCATGTTCTTCACATGTACCCCAGAATCTAAAGTGCAATTATATATATATATATATATATATGTTCATATATAAGTATACACACACACATACATATATGTATATACATATAATAAAATTAATTTTTTATTTATTAGAGTTTCATATATATATATATATATAAAATATATATACAGTCTCCCAAAGATAGCTTGGCCCAAAATTTCATATATATATATATATATATATATATGGAACTGGAATAAATAGAAAAAAAAGAAGTCTGGGTTGTGATAAGAGGTTGTGAAGAACAAAGTTTTATCATCAAGATAAAGCCTCCAGGTAGAAGGCTTCAGAGAAAATAGCTCCTAAAATGGTTTTGTTTTTTCTTTTTTTAATCAGGCCTAAAGTCTATGTTGATGTTAATGCTGGAGATGTATAATAAGGCATGTCTAACTCCATCCCTGTCATGGCTTGAACCAGCCTTTTAAGCTACATTTTAAGAGTCCTGACTGAGGAGGAAGTCCATGAGGATTGTTGGGGGCCTTAGAGTTTTATTTTTGGTTTACATACTCTTACTGGGTGGGATGATTGGTGGAGCCTTCTTTTCGACCATCTTGTTCTGCCTTTAGGGCCAGTTTCTAAAGATTTATTTTGTTCCTTTGAATGGGTGGCATACACCTGTTCTTTGTATATTTTTTAATATTTTATTAAAAATTTAACTTTGGGGAAAAAACAAAAACAATAACAAAAAAACCAAAATCATGTTTTTGGGCCCTTCGTTCTGTAACTCAAATTTGTTGGCATCACCAACATTTTGTAACCATATTCTTTATATGTTGACACATGTGAAATTTGACAAACAATTTGTAACAGATACAATTAATTTTAAGGAACCATATAGCAATATACCAACAATTTTATTTCCCATAAGCAGAATTTAAGTATGAAATAGAGCACCTTTTCTTCCAGGTGTATTAATCGTTTTTTGAATAACTTAATTTTGTATAAGTCTCCAATATGTATTTGTTTATGCTTATTCTGGAGCCAACCTATAGCATATTCTGTATGGTAAGAATTTTGATTACAAAGCCAAACTCAGGAGCACTAAACGTCTTTACGTGAATGAAATGAAACACATAAAAATGAAACTACTTATATTGGCTTCCAAAATAATTTTTTAGGCATTCTTCATCAGATAGATATCATCTAGCAATATGAAATTTTGATGTATTCTTATAAACATTTATTCCTCCCCACCCCCAACTCTACTATCATATACACTCCACTTTTGGAGAGAAATTAAGGTGTGCTATTCCTGTAGAGAATAAATTTATAAAGATTAACTCAGGTATGTGCTGCATCCATTTGCAAGGTGATGCTTTTAACCATGCAATTGACATCTCTGGTTCAAAGACAATGAAAGCAACAGAATTTTATAGAGTTCTGAGTTAAGCCTTCCAAAATTGACCATTTGAACTATTCTAAATCCTAGAAAATTTTAAGCCAGCCCCTATATTCCATCTAAATATGTAAATACAATACTAAAATACAACTAAGTTTTAGGTAATCTTCTCTTTTGAATACTTCATACACTGCAATAGATTCTGAATTGCTGAACTGCTGAACTTCATTATGATACTGAATATTATCTGATTAAGACCTAAAAAGTTTTAATATTTATACTATTGGTCAGAATAGCATAAAAGTTTCAATTGATTTACATTTATATAATCACTCTATAATTTTCTTAGAATATTATAGGTCAACTAAAATGTTTAATTTCCTAAAGTGTATTCAGGAAACCATTTTTCATACAGATTTCAACAAGCAATACACATTCATAAATATGAATAAGCGATAGCTGTGGGGAATTTGTTATTATTGCCTTTTTGAAAATAATTAAATCTCCTTATTTAATTTTGAGATATATTCTCTCTCAAAGCCTCAGACATCCATTTAACTAAAATATGTTTTAATTACAGTATGATATTTCTGGTCAAGCAAAACTGAATTCATAATAATGGATTGTAATTCAAAAGTCTTTTGAGAACTCAAATTTGAATACACTTTATGCTTACATTGATGAAATAATTCTATAATATCTGTATACTAATTTAGTATTTATAATAAAAATACCTTTCCTATAATCAAGAGATGATACTCTTTTTAAAAAAAGTATTGTTTGAATTGCTGAAAAGATAAAATGATTTAAAATATAGTACATATTATATATTCTAATATAGACTATTTTAGTTCAGTTTATTGTATCCACGTGGTCATATTATATATTCTAATATAGACTATTTTAGTTCAGTTTATTGTATACACGTGGTCAAGTTCAGGACATTTTCATTTGTGAGTGCTCTAAATGAGCAAACAT